TTCCAAAGACAGGAAGTTGACCAATCCTGAGGATAACAGGCTTCTTGTGCTCAGGATTCCTCAGGGAATGTCTTCTATGAAACTAACATTCAGAAATTTTTCTCTAGCCCTCATCCATCACTCCACTGTACTCTGAATTTGTTAACTGGTCTTTGCACGGCATTCATTTATACACATTTTCTGATAATGAGAATTTAGTCTATACAATATCTGAAATCACTAAGAATTCTCTTTTCTTGTTTTACTCTACCCTACACAGCTCCATATCAGCAGTCCTGCTCATATGAGAACACTCTACCATTCTCCATTTTTTAAAGTTGATTAATGAATGATTTAGACTGTTAGCTACTAAAGAGATTTATAAGCTATTAGATTTTTGTTCACAAATGTAAATCTGAATCTGTACTATATAATGGATTTCTCAATATTAAAGTATAAGTCACAATGTAGTTATCTTTTCTTATATCAATTTTCTTTTATCCCAAGAGCTATATACTAATATATTTGTGCATGTATGTACATACCAGAGTAGATTATTTTTGAACAGAAATTTATTTTCTTAGTTCTAGAGGCTGTAAAGTCCAAAATCAAAGTGCTGGCATGATTAGCATCTGATGTCTCACTCCCTGCTTTCTATATTATGTCCAGTTGCTCTGTCCTCACATAGCAAAGAACAGAAAGTCTAAAGGGCCTAGCTAGTGTCCTTGAGGCATATTAGTTATACATAACAGTAGGCCTTGTTTGGGAATATTTGTATATGGCTATAACATATTTTGATCACTTCTACTCTCTCTTTATCCAGCTTGCCTTCTCCCAATTACCCTGATACCTTTCTTCTTCTCTATGTGTCCTTCAACAATTTCATGCTATTTCAATTATTCAATGTTATTATTTATGTACTTATTTACATACTTATTCTACACATGAGTAAAACATGAACTATTTGACATTATGAGTCTATTTTATGTCACTTAAGGTGGCCTACATAATGAAAGGAAACATTTGCCAGCTATTCTTCTGTCAAAGAACTAATGTTCAACATATTATGAGGAATTTATAATAATCGGCAGCAAAAACTCACAAATAATGGATTAATAAATGGGTAAATGAAGATATGTACAATTTCTCAGAAAATGGAGTAAAATTAGCCATTAAGTCTAGCTGTCCATTAATGGAAGAATGGATAAAGAAAATGGATTATGTAAGCACAGAATTTTTAAAAGAAGAATAAAATCATATAATTTGCAGGAACTCTTCAAAGACTATTAGTTCTACTTCTGGGCACTGTACCTTCATGATTTAATGACTTCCTAAAGAATAATCACCTCTTACCACTGTTACATTGGATTCTACATTCCTATATCTGAATTTTGAATGGTAATGCACATTTAAACCATTCTGGAGGATGGGGGAAATGTATACAAAAGAAAAGTAAATTAACATATTAGTTCACTGATCTGGAACTGTAAACAAAAAAATAATAATAAATGACTGAGAGAGGTAGCATCTTAAGGAGTCCGAGCCCATGGCTTCAGCTTTTAATTTTTATAACTACAGGAGAAGAACATTTAACAGGTCACCTGAAAATGTTAGTAGCTAAAAGTATAATGATGGCCTTTGCAAGTGACCATGAAAATTTATGAAGCTTATTTTTACTAATTTGGCCTGGTAGAAGAAAGAATTTGTGCAGAGGAAAATAAGTTCTCTGAAAAACATTTATAAATTGAAGACTAGATATATGTATGACAGCTTCAGCCCAGTTTTTAAGGCTGTTCTAAAGACTGAAATTTGGACTGCAAATATTAAATTCCAGATGGATCAAGAGACATCCTATATATGTTTCCCGTCATCCAGTGCTAGACTAGATGTCCTAAACTCAGATCCAAGGAACTGTGTTCTGCAGTTAGGTCATGGAGGAAACTGTAGAAGGGGCTGATTCCTCCCAGTCCTAACCCCAGGCACAACTGAAAAGTGGATATGATTAAATAAAGTTTCGATATCACTACACCATATTAATTATAGAATCACTGTGTAACATTCTATACTTCAATTTTTTACTACTTGATTAATGACCAAGAGCCAGCATGTGGTATAATACAATGTAAAGTCTGCATCATGAACTTTACTCCTTTATTGACTGATTTTGTAGAAATCTGTTTCTATCAGAGATATATTTTCTCTGGCTTAAAATTAGGGAAAAATAATTTTTATCTTTTTAAAATTCCTTTACTATTTATGTAAGAAAAATTCTTTCAGCTTATTTCTTAACAAAATATTTAGTTTTAGTTGTGGCTATGAAAGATAGTTTCACTAAAACTCTAGATTGAGTAGTTATTCCTTTATGATCTTTAGTATGTCATGCCATTGTTTGCTAACATTTATTATTTATTTGTTACAATGATATTCATTCATTCTAAGGAATTCTAACTGTACTTCTTTGTATCCTGGGTTTCATAGACATCTGAGTTGGTTTTTTTCATAAATTAAAAAGTTCTAAAATTCTCCCCTAAGATATTTTTAGTGCTGATTAATTATCTCATGTCTTGTTTTTGCCTGTGTTTATATGCCTAGTAGAGTATGTGGTATTGTCCCACAGTTTTAGGTTGTCTGTTCCCTTACTTTTACGTTTATGCTTGTTTTTAATTAAATTTTAGTTGTATTTTCATCTTTGCTCATTTTTTTCTCTATTAATAAGCCAAAAACAATGTATTTGTTGTATAGCACTTTTTAATTCAAGTATTTTGACTTGACTGTAAATTTCTTTAATTTCTTATGTCACACACTATTCCTCTTTCTCCAAGAGATTCCTTCATGCATTTATCTTAGGTATTTTAAGTCTATATATAATGACTGTGAAGTCTGTGTCCCTCTCAGTATCTTCCTTTCATGACTTTTCTTTCTTGATGATGTGCTCTGGGGTCCCGTTACTTTTGTGTCTTATAATTTTTTTAATTGAATGCCAGACATTTGGGTCAGATAATATTTGCAATTAAACTGGATTATATTTGTACACAGAAAAAATTGCAAGCCTCCTCTTGTGTCGAGCTAAATAGTTTTCAGGAAATGCAGTCTGTGTTGAAATAACTCTGATTATGATAATGTGATGACTGTGGTAATGATGATCTTTCTCGTTTCCCATTCAGCTCACCATATATGTCAAATTATTTGAATTCAGAACCAGAAGCTTGCACTTTGTAAAAATGTACTTTTCAAGCAATCTTTTCCTGCCTTCAGCTTTGTTCTATTTTTTTTTGGGGGGTGCAAATGGTATTTTTGCTTTTGTTGTTGTTGAGGATGTTCATTATCCTTTTAAGTTCGGTTTTAACTTTTCTTTTACATAATATCCATCACTGTGTTTATAGCAGAATGGTAGTGAATGCATAAAGTGCAGCACTTTGGCTAAAGGAACTATCTGTTATTTTTAAACAATTATATTTCCAATTATCTTTCTAATAAACTCAACAATGATAAACTCAACAATGTTTCCAATACAATATATTACTGTTGATAATAAATTACGTTGGAAATATATATACACACACACGCACATACACACACAGACAAGTACAGAGCCTCCACATAGTGTTGTAATGTTAGAGAAAGGCAAGGGCTCATGGAAAAGCAGAGTAAATCAGTGCTGATGACAAATTGCATTTGCTCATCTCTCTCACTTCCACTTCACTAAAGAAATGGAAGAGAATGAGGGCCAAAATTTCCTAGTTAACCTTTTTAACTTCCATTAGACTTTGACTCAATGCTACTACCCAGGGTCTCCCGGATAATTTAGATAATGTCTGTTTAATAATTACAGTGGAATTGGTTTTTTAATTTCCCAAATCTTCCATTACATGAAGGCGGCAAAATAGGAACCCTCCTGGGCACATTATAAAACAGTTAAATACTGGTGAAAGATATTTAAGTTAAAAAAGGGCCTAAACTAATAAAAAAAGATGATACATGAATCCAGAGTGACTAGAGTTTTCTCATTTTCAAATGTTAGTGACAAAGCCTTTTGCTGTTCTTGTATCAAATTTTGCTTCTGATTTTCTAGAACATGTATTTCTTCAGTAACTCGCAATTAGAGCAAATCCCTTTACTATCTGAGTATAACTGTCCTAATCTTGATTATATAAACATTTAATGATTTTTAATGGTTTTTAGACCCCCAATAAAAGATAACAGTCCACAAGGAGATACTTGGTTTCACATCGCTCAGTCTTTTTTGGCTCTTAGAGTCCTGCAAGCTGGTTTAACTGCAACTTGTAAATGAATGTCCAGGAGAAGCTAGAAAGCTGTTGTTAGAATATCTAGGTTTGCTTTTGGCGTCTATTCCCCTGTTGCTTTGTCATCCAGTGTTCCAAAGTCTGTATGACATTGATCTAGACTTTCCTAAATTAGTGCACTTTCCCTATATTAAGGTATTTTGCCTTTTGTGAATCAAAAGTTTTATATGTCAACATATTATCTAGAAACACAGCAGTAGAGAGGGCAAAGAAAACACTTAAAAACACCACAGATGAAATTCTCACAATAGTAAATGGACGAACAGGTTAGGTAAACATATTTAAAATACAGTAACATGAAATCAATGTAGTAACATCCAAGCAAAGGTGGCCAGATGTTCTACTTTGACATTAATTTGTTATTAAATTAAATACCCTTGTAAATGAATTGTCTCAAAATATTTGCCTTTTCTGGTTTATATTAAACTATTAAGTATGGTCCATGGAAAAGAATGTATTTGAAATAAAAGATGAATCACTCTATCCTACTTTATATTTTCATTTTTCACATGCTATTTACCTTGTGATCACCATGAAAATAAATAAATTCTAGAAGTAAAATGGCTCTTAAGAATAAATGAATGTTGTGTTTTATTTCTGATAGTAAAAAAATAAAATTATGTGTCTTTTCAAAACAAATCAGTTTCCATAATCATCAAACATATATTTTAACATTTTATTTATTTGATTTTTCTCTATAGAGCATTAATTACTTACATAGTTGAAAGGGGATTGTTGGGGCACGAGAGGACGGAAGGCCGAAGCGCTGACCCCGAGTCCCGGAATGCTGGTTCTCACAGGGGCACAGGTGTCCCGAAGGCGACGTGCTGGAGCCAAGTCCCTTGACCTACAAGCAACCCCCTAATCTCTTCTTTATTCCCGTTTCCGGTTTACACTCCCTTTTAGTCGTAAACAGATGTTGTTATATCTAGATGTTATGTCTTTAGTTTGAGCAATGTGTATCTGCTCGTGACTGCTGTTAATCACTGCCTGTTACTGCTGTTAATCATCAAACCACTGAGATCATGCCTGTGTGTGTGGCCTTGAAACTAGTGTGTAACACCCTGTGTCATAAATAAACTTTGCCATTAGCCATCAGCTTTTGGTCATTCATTGTGTCCGCGGTCGTCTCCCCGAGTCCCCTCCTCTGGAAGGACACCTCAACAGGGGATATTTTCGATTTGGAAGAAAAATAGAGCAAAGAGTTTATAATCTTATGAACATCTTTTCATTGAAGGTTTTGATCCACTTAGAATAGATAGGTGTAACATATCCATATCAGTATTTGTTATATTTTTGGGAAAAACTGTTTCACAATGAGAGTTTCCTATTATAAACTTATATGTCTTTGAAAAAAATCCTAAATTATAATATATGAATACACATTTTGAAATTAGATTATGTTTTGGTCTTGGTTTAGATTATCATTTTGAAACTTCTTTTTCTTAACTTCTTTGTGATATAAATTATTCATTAGTTTATTGATTTTTCTTTCCTTCTTTCTTTTCCTTCTTTGTCTCACCCACTACTTGTTCTTGGTGATAGATAGCATAACTCCATCCTGAAGAAGTTCAGAACTTCATTTGACAGCTTCAGTGGAAATACCACACCAGATTCAGGGAATTACATCTGGAACCCCCCGTCGTAAACTGAAAGTGGCTTAAGGTGAGAATGTACAGTATTTGGATAAGACACCTCATCTGCTTGGCTTCATACTTCAGCTAGCCAGCATTAAGAATGCCCAGAACAGTTATGTTAATAGCTAACAGTCTTGAAAAATAATCTAACACAAAGCCTGTTTTTTACTAAGGTTTGAATATCTCCATAATTTATTGAATACCTGTATCCAAAAAAAAAAAAAAAAAAAAAAAAAAACACTGCGGGACTGTACACTATAGAGCATCTGCTGTTCCTTCTGGTGATTCTGTGGCTGACTAGGAGATGCAGCTCATAGCTCCTGTCTAGGTCTTAAGAGAGCATTGTGCTGCACTCTGATAACCTGGGAAAAGATCAAAATTCAAAGTTCTAAGTGCAGTTTCTACTGAATGTATATTGCTTTTGCTTCACTGTAGAGTTTAAAAAGAAGTCAAACCATTGTGAAAGGGAGACCATTTGTATTACCTCAAGACAATAAAATATGTAAATAGAGTGTTCCTGCTCTTTGATCAGTGAGTAATTCAGAGGTACAAAGGCAACTTTTTAAGATTTCTGTGTTTTTTCCATTAGACTCATTAGACAAGTCCAATCATTCTAATAATAGTCCACGGGGAGGGAGAGGGAAAGGGATGGCATCAGTAAAAGTTTCCCTTCAGGCTTCCCAGTAGCATTTTGCTTTTGTTTCCTTTTATGTTCACAGTGTTTCATTGGCCACTTATAGCAGTAATGAAGACCACGAAAGCGAGTGTTTGGTTTTCCAGTATCTAGAGTGAAACTAGAAAAGGAAAAGCCATTCCAGAATGGACATCAGATTAGCCTAAGATTTTCTTCTTTCTGAAAATTTGCTTCAGTGTGGATTTTGTTTGTTGTGGGTGATATGACATTCACTCCTTAGGCATATTCATCCACTTAAATATTTTTTCTGTAACTCTATCCATACCTAATCTTTAAGTTCTATGCATATCAACATATCCTACTATCAGCACTTCTTCCTCAAAACACAATCTGTACTAGTTATAGCATAATTCTTGTTGTGTGCCATTCTGAATGCCTACCAAAAGAGAATCACCCTCAACTCCCAAGATACACATACAAAACAACAAAACCCACTCATGAAAACCACAGCCAACCCGTGTAAATTTTTAAATGAAATAATTGTTAGCAGTCCAAGTCTTTTGCTACTGATTTCCCCTCACTGCTCTTTGCATCATGACCTAATTATTAAGCCTCTCAAGTTATTTTATAACACTACCCTCTGCTTCTAGTTACAGATTTATTTACATTAACGTGAGCCTTGATTTTCTGGCACTTGAACTATTTTGAAATTCAGTGCTCCAACTCTGTAGTATCTTTATTCTCCAACACTGAAAATATTATACATGTTTATTTTCAAAGTACAACTGTGAGGATACTACTCTCTTGTTCACACTTTAATTCATTGTTATTACTGAGTACGAATCCTCATTATTGCATTCACCACACTCTTTAAACACAGTTATTTGCCATTTTTCTAGCCAGGGTGAATTATATACAGATATATGCAAGTTTGTGAAAATTGTTGTAAAAAAAATTAAGCATGTGTAGTAGGCAAGTTTTCCATGTTTGAGAACAGTGCCATAACATAAATAAGGGAAAGTTTCTCTTGGTTCATGGTTTCACAAGTTTAAGTCCATGACGGATTGTTTCATTGCTATGGATCTGAAGGGGGACAGGACATCACAGCAGAGCGAATGTGAGCCCTCAGTACATGAGTCCTTGAGAGATATTTCACATGTAAGCAATAGCAGGTTGTACTTTCACAATTCCTCTGCCTATATCATTTGGTTCCTTCTGTAAGATCCATTCCTGTTTTTGTTATAATTTTTGTTCATTTTAGCCATAAAGTTAACAAACTTCCTGTTTACTTAGTGAACAATCTAGCTTGCCTCAGCTTTTTTAGATAAGTATGTAATTTATTTCACTTCTGTTTCTCATACTAGAATACAGATACCTTCAAGGCAGTATACCTTATTTCCCTTTGAATCTTTAAAAATTAGCCACCTATGTTGCACGCAGTATGTATTGTGTAGAATGTTAGCTGAGCATCAAGTTGCTAACAATTAGTGCACATTCGGTTACTGTTCTGTATGTCAGGAAAGACCAAGGTATTCTGATAGAGCTGATACAGCACCTTTAATAGAATGATAAGCTTTTATTCTTTCTTTCATAAGCAATGGAATTCTACACTTTTCTATCTTGGATATCATATTGTGATCAGCACATAGCTTCCCAGGCTATACCTTTGAACAATTATAAAATCGTAAAAACATACTGCTTTAGAATTTTCCATGAGGAGTGGCTTTTGAAATTGTGATGACCTGCAATATAACATTGTCACCAAACTTTTAAAGTGTACTAGTTAAGCCATTTAAATATGTCAGTGGCCTTAATAATGACAATTTATACCCTAATCAAATATCCTAATAAGGAGCAGAAATCCAGCCAGTACTGCATTGATCTAAGCATCGAATATTATAAAAATCCGGACTTCTTGTTATGGCTTATATTTAGATCTCCCAGCCTGGCTGCAAGACTCATAAAATAATGGGTGCAATTTGGAATGTGATTGGATTGTAGAAGTATCCTAGCTGGGTTGCTCTTGTGAGGTGGGCTCTGATCTGAGGTGTGGGTCATTGAAGGGTATTCCCTAAGGGATTCATCTTTCTTCTCCAGCCCCTCCCGGTCTGCCTGCCTTGAAGAGCCAAACTGTCCCATTACCAAGCCCCTGGGCCATGCCATCCTGCACTGAGTCAACTGACTGGAGACTGCAACACGAGCCAAAATGAATCCCCTCTTTCTTTTAATTGCTGGTGTTAGTATTTTGTCTCAATGATTAGGAGAGTGACTAAGACATTCCCTAAGCCTATGCTTCAAAATATCTGAATTTTGAGAACAATGCTTTCTTTCATTTTGTTATTTGTCGTGCCAGTCTGAGTAGACTAATACAATATAAATTTTTAGTCAGTATTTTCTTTAACTTCAGCTAATGAATGTTGTGCTTTTCCATGAGAAAGAAGATGACACAAAGTTCAGTTAATAGCTTTTGAATAAAGAAATTTGCACTATATATGCAAGATCTTATGCAAAAAATTACTAGATCTCAATAATTTAATCTCTGCTTACATTCAAAATCTATATCAGGAGACAATAAAGTACATTTATTTTCCAGGATAAAATACAGTTTAAAATTTTGTTATTCCAAAAGCAATACAAAAAAAAAATCAGTAATTCTCTATAGGAGTCTAACAGCTTTTTTGTTTGTGGACAAGAGATTGATAATGTGTTTTTATATGTTTATTGAATTTAAATTTTATCAAAATTTATTATGTATGTCATCATGTCTTCAATTAGTCTCTGTATAAAATTAATGCAAAAGCAAATAATTTTGCTGTCTCCATTGACGTCATTTATATTATATTGATTATATTAATCAATAAAAATAAAGGCATAATAAGTGAAACAAGTTTTAAAAAATCCTCATTAAATCTGCACACTAGAATTTTAAAAGACTTAAAACAATTGCTGAGAAAAAGAAGATTAAGAAATTGCAACATTTTTATCTACAGCAAAATTGCCTTAATTCTATGTTTATGGTTATTATTATTTGAAAGTAACAGCCCTTGAAGAAACATAACAAATAGAATAGGTGCTGGAATTTCAGTGCATTTCCTGGAATTGAATGTGGACTCTATTTATAATTTTTTAAATTCTGAACTTAAAATTTTTTTTCAGAATAAAAAGAATTGTGGGACTCATCATTTCAACTGTTACACATTTTTTTCTTAATATACAAAAACTTTCTAATCTGATAAAAATATTATAGTTTCATGAAATCAAGATTTTTGGTGTTAAATTCAAAGAATAGTGTGGTCTAGGGGCTACTAATATGAACTTCTAACTTTTGAAATATAATAAACAAAGCCACAGTCAAGACTTTTAAAAAGAGCAAAGTGAAAAGATACTATCATTAGTTACTTTTCATGATTGTCTACTGCCTAAAGATTTGTTAGCTCTGTCGTGGACTATGTCAGTGGGAAATATTCTTGAAAGAATAAGAGAAGTATGTGAAAAGTTTCAGGATGAAGCGTGAGTGTTATCTTCACCTGGCAGCTGTTAATTCCCTGCTTGCTGCAACTAGAAA